TGTCTTTTTGATGTTGAGCCATAAGAGTTCTTTATATATTCTGGATATTAAACCCTCATCAGATATATAAACATCACCACCAACAAAAACCCATTGCTGTCCAGTTGATTCTGAATCATAGTGACTCTATAGGAGGGAAGTGCCATGTATGGTTTCCAAGGCAGTAAATCTCTATAGAAGCAGATTGCCATATCCTGTGTTAGAGCTGTAGCAACTGGTAGGTTCGAACTGCCAACCTTCTGGTTAGCAGCTGAAAGCCTAACCACTGAGCCACCAGGGCTCCTGTCAGACATATCTTTTCCCATTCTATAGGTCATCTATTCACTTTCTTGATAAAGCCCTTTGATGCACAAGGTTTTTTTTTTTTTTTTTTTTTTTTGGTGAGGTCCAATTTATCTACTTTGTCTTTTGTTAGTGAGCCCTGATGGCACAGTCATTAAAGTGCTCAGCTGTAACCTAAAGGTCGGTGGTTTGAACTCATTAGCTGCCCCATGGGAGAAAGATGTGGCAGTCTGATTTCATAAAGATTTACAGCTTTGGAGACACTATGAGGCAGTCTACTCAGTTCTATGGGGTCTCTATGAGTTGGAATCGACTCAACAGCAGTGGGTTTGGGTTTTGGTTTGTCTTCTGTTGCTCATGCTTTTGTGGTCATATCTGAGTCCATCTGCCAAAATCAAGGTCCTCAAGGTTTATTCCTATGTATTCTAAGAGTTTTATGCTTTTAATGTCCTTGTACTTAGCCTGGTTTTAAACCAGGAAGGGTGTGCATCAGGGTTGTATCATTTCACCATACTTATTCAACCTGTATGCTGAGCAAACAATCTGAGAAACTGGACTATACGAAGAAGAACATGGCATCAGGATTGGATAAAGACTTACTAACCACCTGCGATATTCAGATGACAAATCTTGTTTGTTGAAAGTGAAGAGGACTTGAAACACTTACTCATAAAGATCAAAGACTACAGCCTTCACTATGGATTGCATCTCAACATAAAGAAAATAAACACCCTCACAACTAAACTAATAAGCAACATCATGATAAATAGAGAAAAGATGAAAGTTTTCAAGGATTTCCTTTTACTTGGATCTACAATTAACACCCATGGAAGCTGCAGTCAATAAATCAAACAGTATTTGTATTGGGCAAATCTGCTACAAAAGACCTCATTAAAGCATTCAAAACCAAAGATGTCACTTTGAAGATTAAGGTGCACCTGACCCAAGCAACAGTGTTTTCAATCATCTCATTTAATACAAAAGCTGGGCAATAAATAAGGAAGACTAAAGAAGAATTGATGCCTCTGAAGTATGGTGTTGGTAAAGAATACTGAATATACTATGGACTGCCAGAAGAATGAACAAATCTGTCTTGTAAGAAAGATAGCTAGAATGTAGCTTAGAAGCAAGGATGACAGATTTCATCTCATCTACTTTGCTTCTGTAAAGATTTATAACCTTGGAAACCCAGTGGGGGTCATTATGAGTCAGAATTGACTCTATGGCAGTGTTTTTTTGTTTTGTTTTGTTTTTTGTTTTATCTTTTACTTTAAGTGTTTTCCTCAAATACCTTGTATTTGTGCTTGGTTCATTCATGAGAATGAAGCACTGAAATACTAACTGGAAGCTCTAGATTCATAAGTAGGGCATATGAAGTATTTGGTTTTACTGAAGGACATTTAGATAGGGACAAGGCCATTATTGCCAGAATATAGGTCTTTTCATAGGTATAGAAGTTTCTTAAAGAGGTATCTCCTCAAATCTCTTACTTGGGTTATATCTGAATGGCTGCAAATGTAGCAGCAGAGTAGGATAAGGGATCTGGTGGTTTCACACTAAGTATGACTTTCCTTAATCCTCTCCTCCCCGTTTTCAGTATAGCATCTCTCTCTACTCTCTACAGTATCTATCATCCCTGAGTCCCTCTAGATCAACATCTCTGGACTGCCAGGGTATAAAGAGGGTAGTAATTGCTTCACTACAAAGTTTTGGGGGAAGGGATAAAAATCTTCCCACTTCTTCAGGAATATGTGATGCTTAAGATTTCAGAACCTACAGCCTGGATCAGTTTTGCTTCTTGGTTTCTCCCTAATCAAGGCATCAAGATTTTAGGATTTTTTTCCCCCCCTAATTAATTAATCCATCTACTGTCCAGTTCCTAGACTTCTCTTATTCCTTGTCAGGTGAGGTTTCCTCTCTCTCTTTCTCCACCATTTGGCTTCAAGTGTTTTCCATGCCTTTACATTTATTTTAGTAGAGTTTCAGAAGAGAGATATAAATATGTGTGCTCAGTCCTCCACATTGTATCTGAAGTCCTAAATTATTTTTTTAATGTTATAAAATTACTGGATTCCAAGGGGGAATTAAAACAGTTATATTTTAAATTAAATTTTGTGGGCTACTCGAAAACCTAACTCATTTATAACATTTTATTAAGGGGAAAAAGTAGGGTAGGGTGAAAAAGTAGCACTTGCTCTCAAGGGCCTTAATGCCAAAATGAAGAGACAGAAACAATTACACTGCTGTTGTAAGTCTCATAAGTAGACAAAGAGTTCCACAAAACTACCAGGCAAGAACCATCACCTAGAGTGAAGTCAAAAAAGGCTTCCCAGAAGAGATGACACTTGCCTTATTCTTGAAAAATAAGAATTAACCAGGCAAAGAAGGGAAAGGAAGAAAAAGCACTTGTTGGGTACTTCCTTTGTTCTTTGGCATTACATTCTAGAAAAAATTAATCTATTCCATTTTCTAGCTCACTAATTTGACTTTCAGCTGTATTGATTCCAATATTATGCACACTTACTGAGTTTTTAATTTGATGATATTTTTAGTTTGCAGAAGGCTGGGCAATCTACTTCTGTCCAGATACCACCTCAGAAACCCATGAAGGGGTCGCTATGGGTTGGAACTGACATGACGGCAGTTGAGTTTTTTAATTATTTTTTCATAGCAGCCTGTTATTATTACATGGATTCTGTGGCCTCTTGTCTTTAAAAAGATATTTAAAGTTCTCTTAGGTGTTAGTTCTGTTTGTTATATATGTCACCTCTCTTCCGTAGCACTGGTTTTCTTCAAAGGTTTAGTTGTTCCTAGTCGTAGCGCCGAAAGCACTTGACTGCTAACCAGAAGGCTGGTGGTTCAAACCCATCAGGCACTCCTTGGAAGGAAGAAGGTTGGGCAATCTACTTCAGTAGTGTTACTGCCTCGGAAACCCAAGGAGGGGTCGCTATGAGTCGGGTCCGACTTGACGGCACATAACACCAACAACAGTTGTCTGTACGTATTTCTATTTGAGAATCTCCAGTATGGCAATGAGTATAAATTCTGGAAATAATAGCCTACCTCTGGAAATTTTGGAAGAGTGATGAGATATTTTGGGGACTTGTGTTCTGCGTGGGGATGTATACTACATCTTCTGGAATAAGAGGTTATATGGGACAGTGCACTAATTGTCTGGGTCAGTATCCGCACAGAAAATTTCCTGTATCAGAATTCCCATTTCAGAGAGCCATACTATATTTATCCTGGAGTTAACAAACATAAGCATTATCTATCTTTTTTCTCCCCCTCTCCTATCTCTGTGACAATCTGAAGCTCTCCTCTGCTTTTCACTCCAGCCCCCAAATTGACCTTTAGGAGCCAACCTCTGACAGAAGCTCACTTGTTTGGGAGTAGTTCTCAGTATTTTAACCTGGAAGGAAGTACTGGTAGCTATCAATGTTTTCAGAATAAGAAAGGAATGAGGAGAAGGGAATGAAATATTCCAAATGTAGTTCTTAATTCACAAGAATTCACAACAGACAAGTCTGTTACGGTCCCTTCTATTATAAATTTTTTTCACCCATTTATTGACCAAGAGTTTGGGGTTATCTCTAGAGCTACTCTTACCTTTGTAGTGGTTTTTATCTGCTTTTGATGTATTTATCAGTCTGATATTATCTTCTTTTAAGAATACTTTGGAATTTTTTTTTATATGCTCTTTCTTGTTTTCAAGAATAACTGCAATTATACCAATATGTAAATTGATAAAAAATGTCTATATTCATCTCTCCATACCTGGTTGCCTATTTAACACTGCTACTTGATGATCTTAGAAGCATCCATAACATATTAAAGACTGAATTTATGATCTTGCCCTTAAACCAGATCTTCCTCAATGAAAGTCCTCACCTTTTATCTAGTTACACAAGCCAGAAACGGAAGCCATCCTTGATACTTCCTATCTCCTTCACTAGTCATGTGCCAAATGCTATTAATTTCACTTCTTAAAATAGTTGCTAGATCTTTCCACTACTTTCTATCTCCAATGTCACCACCTTAGTATAACCTGCCATTATTTCTCCCCTGAATTACTACAACAGCCTCCTACCTGGTCTACATCCACTCTTGCTCTTTTCTACTCCTTTTTCCATACTGCAGCCAGTGATCATATCATTTCCTATTTAAATGACTTCATTGGCTCCTTGCTACTCACGGATAAAGATTAAGAACATTGACATAGTCTAAAGGCTTTGCAAAGCCTCTAACTGTCCAACTCTATAATTACATTTCCTCCTACTGTCTGTATTCCACTCACACTGGCCTTTCAGTTCACTGAATGCATAATGCTCAGTCCCAACTTAGGATCTTTGCATATGCTGTTTTGTCTGCGGGGTATACTTTTTGCTCATCTCTTTGCAAAGTTGATTTCTACCCTTCTCAATTCAATTTTCACTCCTTCATGGAAGCTTTTCCTAATCTTGCTAACTAAACTTAGTTATAATCAAGTCATCAACTATTTCTCTTTTGTAGCACTTATCACTACTGTAATTTCATATTTACTTATATATGCTTGAAGGTTTTGAACATGAGATCTAGACCAAAGGCAGACGAATTCATCTTGGAGTAGGGGAAGGTCATCTCTTCCGTAGAGAATGGGAAGATAGGGCAGAAGTACAAATAGATGCTTACGTTTGAAGGAAGGACAGGAACTGAGTGTTCACATCTGACAGTCTTACCTGATACTAGTTCACTATTTGATGAACAGCTGTCACCCTGGAGGTTATCAGTTACTGATTCCTATGTGGAATAAGAATTAAATATAAAGCACAAATTATGAGGTTGAATATTTTTATATAACAATATTATAGCACATTGAGTTGGCTATTTTGAAAATGAAAATGTAATAATCAAATCTGTATATCAGTTTTACGCATCTAACGGATTCCTTCAGCTTAATGATCACAGATATAATCTGGTAATATTTAACATTAAATCTAAAGAATAAATATTAAAATATAATGCTGTGGACATATCTAGGGAGTCAACAATCTATAACTACTGTGAGATAAACCAATAAATAGACAATAAAGGTGAATATTTTTCTGATTCCTTAGGGAGGAAGTTCTTTTCTCCAAATATAAAAGCAAAATAAATAAATCAAAAGAAAAGTTTGATAGGTGCAAAAACGACAAGGAGGCCACATGTTCTGACCTCCTCTAACCCTACAAGGGGAAGGCAGGATTACCAGCAGTAACCCAAGGCCTATTACTGCAAGGCCA